TATATATATATAAAATTTATACTTAGGTTAAGTATGCATATATACATATATGCCATATATATTTTATATGTATTTTATATCTTTATGCAAATACATATATGTGCAAAATAAACCCAACTATTTCTTACTCTATTTTGCTTCTACAATTGACTCGTTTAGCTATAAACAACATTTCTGCTGTTATTTTTGTCACTGGGATGCAGTTTCTTTCCTGGATCAGAATCCTGCAGAATGACCTAATCTAATGCATTTTACCTCTTCTCTCTCTGGCTTTGTACATCACCTCTTTAAGGTGGTGTTTGGACTTCATTTAACTACACTCCCTGTTGCATTTTCTTGTGTTTTGGAGAGCAGATATATTCCTGCTCCACAGCTGAAAGAGCTTATATCCTTCTCCAAAGGTTCATTTGGAGCAGACGGGGCAAGAGCTCAAGTAGATTCACCGGGAGGGAGTCCGACCAGGAGAGCATCAGTAGTAACTACAGCTTTACCAGGATTCACTATTTTGAGGATGATGACCCTGGGCAGGATGGTACGGGCCTGCCCTTGGTGGAGGTTTACTGTTCAGCCTGCTTCGCATTTTGTGATTCAGTCTGTACAAGTTGGAGGCAGAATTGCAGCCATGGACCATGTGCCAGAGCTCAGTGATGAGAAGGGCATAAAATGGAAAGCGGAAACGTGTGTATGAAGGTGGAGAGAAAGAGAAGGAGTATATTCAGTGCTATAACTTTTATTTCTTAATTTTTTCCCTGCCACTGGGCCTTTCGGCAGATACGCAACTTTAATTTTATCGTTGCATGTGGATATTTACAGTGGCCTTGATGTTTGCTCTTACCATCAGTGCACTGAATCTCCAAGAGAGAGAATTTTGGTGATTTTTTTTTTTGCGCTGGTGAAAGGGCAATGACTGGGTAAGGTCAGTGGAAGGAGGGGAGTGAAAAAAGGAGAAGGAAAGGGACCAGAAATTCTTTTAACTTGCAAAACAAAGGTTGAGAGAGATGGAGGCTGGTGGTTACCCTGTGTCGATCCTCTTCTTAGTGGGTCGGCTGCTCTCCGAGAGAGTGATTGAAACCCAAGGCTCCAGCAGGTCTCCACCAAATCAATAGTCCCGGAGCCTTGGAAATATAAGATGTTAGTTCCAAGTGAGTGAAAGCTCACCTCGTGAGCTGTGTAGCAAGGATGGCTCCTTTGCAAACTGCCTTCCCTGGAAAACTGCACGCTTTTCCCTTTTCTGAAGCATTGGGGAGATTTTTGTGGTGGGTTTCTTTGGGAGGCTGAGCTCCCTGCCCAACTACCCCCTCCTTCGGAGCTGAGAGTCAAAATCCTTGCGGCTTCTGTGGCTCCGTGGGCTACTTTTTCTTATTATAATTGAAGGACAGAATGTTCTTAGCAGCTCATTCTCATCCTCTCAACGTTAAACCTTTTTTTTTTTTTTTTTAATAAGTCCAGGTGACTCCTGCATATTTTTTTCTGCTTTTGAAATAGGATTGGGATTAGACCTGGCGGTTTTTTCCTATTAACTATCACAAGCTTAATATTAAAAATTACTGGTTATAAGAATAATAGAAATGGCCTGGAGTTCCCCAGTTTTACATCATAAAAATAGTCCTCACAGTTACCACATTTGGCAGAAACACCAAAGCGAGGAGAAGGCTCAGGCGTGTTGAAGAAGGAGGACAAGTCTGCAGGGTTCATTTTCCAGGTGGACAACCAGGTGACCCAAAATTTAAGCCTTAGGTTTTGTACCTCGGCAACTTGTTTTGGTGTGTCAGCACGTTTAATGCAAATTAATCCCCCCGCGCTCTCAAAGTCTCCCAATCCTCTGCCTTAGGAAGCACAACAGGAGTGGGAATGGAAAATGGATTTAAATTCTCCTGTGGCGTTAGGTCAAAGTCGTACATTGGCTAATTGTTGCCGCCTGATTGTTCTATATTTAAGATTTGTGGTGGTGATATCATCAAATACCAAATAAAACCACTGCCTTCTGCTTCCTCATAGTAATTTCCTTCTCTGTACTTATTTTGAAGCTGTGCAAGTGCGTAGAGGAAAGCAGGTTACTTCCCCAAACTCTCCATTGTATGCCCAGGCATCCCTGAAAAAACAGTAATTAATAAAAGAAATAGCCTTTTTAATGAAAGACGGAGCAATTAGATACTCAGAATCCGTGGTATCAAAATGATAATACCAGAAGGGGACACACTGGGATTTATTCGTAGTACCCTTTATTCTGTAATATTGGAATTTATTCATCGGAGCCTCCACCAGGTTGTTGTGTTTATTTTTGACGTACGGATTAACATTAGGAAAATAGGACTTTATGTTTCAGGTAAGTGTAGAGTTCTAAATACCTTTTTTTTTCCCTTTCTGTTTTTTAATGTTTCATGTCTAAATTGACCGAAAAGCGTTCAAATTGGGTACTGGAGCTACTTTTTTGGTTCCACTGTTCATTATTATTTGTCTGTGGAGAACCTAACTTTGAAAGATACAGGCTGAAAGAAAACAAATCTGAGCTCTGGTATCTAATAGGGATTTGCACAGACCCTTGCTTGAAGTAATTTGCATGGCAGCTGATTGCACTTGTCCATCACCAGCTGGACAGAGCTGATGGGAAACGCACGCAGTCTGGATTGCTAGCAGAAGCAAAAGGGATAACTTCTCCAAAATTGAAATTTTCTTCTTTTTTTAACAAGTTTTGATAAGTTCTACTCAGCCCAGATTTTACCTTAACTTTCATCATGGCTTCATTCCCTGTGTGTCATCTCAGTCCTCTCCCAGCTCCCCTGAAACAGCCTGGTTTGATTTAGATGGGATAATATCAAGTAATGTAGTTCAAACGGTTGAACTAAAGTCCATATGCCATTTATTCAAAATGAAACCAAAAAAAAAAAAACCCCAAACTCTAACCCCAAACCAAAAATGCTTTTATCGCTTTCAGTCTGCCGTAAACGCAGAATTTCTTTCTGCTTTGAGCTGTGGTCAAACCACATAGCAAAGGCAGCGCCGTCTAGCACCAGTTCAATAAATAACGGGGCAGGTCTGCTGCATAGATGAGGAAAAATGTTATTCTTTATTTTATGTGGATTGTTTCGGTCTTTGTACCCTGTCTCCCTGAAGATTAAATGGCAAACACAGGCTTCATGCAAAGATAGTAATTACGAGTCTCAGTGTGAAATACAGAATAGCGCCTTTGGAAAAAAGACAAGTTTCATGTGGGCTTGGAAATGCTTGCGGCTGCAGGGAAAATAAGAAACCACAAATCTGGGGACCGAAACCCCAAGTGGTTTTAAAACAGATAAACACACACATGCATACATGCATATGTATTGAAGAGCTTAACAATGAAAACTTTAGCCCTAGATGGATAGACTCTTACTTATTAGACTTCATTTCTGAATCACTTGTGGTGGTGGTGGAAATCTTTGCCAGCTGAGAATCAGCCTTTTGGGTTTGAGTTTCTGAAGCTATGTGTGTCTTTGTGGACATCAGAGTACCGGTTTGATTTCTGACAAAGACGGGGTGCTGAGGGTACCATCCCTCCTTGCATTTTCCCTGCAACCTCACCCATTACATGAACAAAGCAGATGCAGAGGAAACCGTTCAAGGTCCTGGTAAGCGGCCTGGGAAAAGCGTGGAAGGTGCCATGGCTCCTGTCAGCCTACGTTTCTGTTACCAAGACAATATAAAAATTGTCATTAAATAAATTGTGATTGCGTGAACGTTGTCTCCTAACCTACAAGGCAAGCTGGATTGCTGATGGGGCTTCACAACAGACAAGCTGCTCGTCTGCTGGCTGAAGCCAGATTCCTCCAAGAAAACCAAAATAGAAGTCGCCAAATGGCACCTCTTACTAAAAAGGGGGAAAAGCATTTAACCGCCAATATTATTGTGAGCAGCTGCCGGGGGAATTTAGCAAACTAAGAGGCCTCATAGGTCACTGGCGAGGTTCCTTTCTCGTTTGATGGTGACTAAGAGGGAATGGCCAAGATGGAAAGGTTGGCTGCCTTCCAGCTGTCTTTGGGATGGGGATGGGTCCCTCAGAGTGGACTGGGGATGGCTCAGGGTTCAGAAGTTACCTGGGTTACGCCGGCGAGCAACCAAACAACTCCCTTCAACCTCATCTCGGGAAATGAGGCTAAAATTAGGTTGCTGTGGCTTAAGGTTAAAAGTAAAGACGTGACCAAGCAGTGCCGTTGAAAAGCCGGCTCTGCTTATCCTCTACAAACATCCGAGGACTGCGTTTCCCTGCCAGAGCCAGCGCGTTTGTTGCCAGCTGTCGAAAAAGGCTTTGTGAAAGTTGTACGTTAGCTAGCAACTTCTTCTGACCCGAGAGTAACGCTGATGCTTGGGTTTTCCCTAAAACACGTGGAGGTTTAGAAATGGGTTTTCCATTTAGCAACAGGTCAAGTATTTAGAAGTCTGGTTCATACTGAGGTGAAGTTGATGACTGAAGAGGTGAGAGGAATTATTTGAAGGTAGGGTGGTGGGATTCCTGGGTCCCCGTGCAGTTGAACTGTCACAGCTTGGCGGGGGCACGCGTCCTGCTTCTAACCATTGCGTTTGCCTGCTTTACCCAAGGTCCAGTTGAAAAGCGAAGAATCGAAAACGTTTGCCATGAAAATACTGAAGAAACGTCACATCGTGGACACGAGGCAGCAGGAGCACATCCGCTCAGAGAAGCAGATCATGCAGAGCGCGCACTCGGACTTCATCGTGAGGTACCGGCCTTCTGCCTTACGTGCCGCCGCGGGGGAGCGAAGCACAGCTCATCTCGGCGTTTCATAAAACCACGTAGGAATAACCCATGCATCACCAGAAAAAACCCTTTAGCTATAGCTTCCCTGCAAGGGACTGCAGATAACGGTGCATGGAACAAGGTCTTCTCCAGGCAAACGTGAGATTACTTTGCCCGTGGGCGACGTTCACCCAAGCTCTGCCTGGGCAGAGCTTACCGATGCTGGCGGGCGATGCTCCATGCAGATATATGCACCATGACTTGGCATTGCCCCTGCTCAAGGTTAATTTTCCTTTTCCGTCTGAATTTCTGGATTTTCCTCCCCGCAAAGGGAAGCTGGAAGGCAGGGTTTAATCTTTTGAGATCATGCGCGGCCATGTGAATGAAGAGTTGTGTCCGGGGTGTATTAGATAAATCCAGTTCAGCATCCCTCAACTCATCATGGGCAAATACACTAAACCATACCCCCCTCCCCTCAAACCTAAACAGATGCAATTCTTCAGTGAATAAAATCAAGTGCCAGGCATTTTTGTTTGGTTTAACCCTAATAGCGAAGTTCTCTGACTCTTCAAGGATTTTGAGAGCCTGTCAGAACAGGAAACAGAGATTGTTCTTTATATGTTTTAGGTCAGGATAAGAGCAGTGGATGGTGAGGACCTCTGGCAGGGCAGTGCATTTCACGGAGCTGGAGGTCTCTAAAAGGACAGCCTCTCATCCAAGCCAAGGGGGCTTCGTCCCACCCCCAAAGAGATGCCTGAAGCACTTGCCTTTTGCCAGAGGAGATCAACCCCGCTCCCAAAAATTGCTCCAGAGAGACATACTAACCCAGGGGCGAAACCAAACCCCGGTGACAAATGCGAAGGCAAGCACACGGCTAGGATGGGCACTGTCAGTCGCTAAGGGGGTGTTTCCTTCCCGGGCTGATCCCTGGGATTCCCCCAGAGCCCACGGCTTCACCTCTGATTCATGGGTGACAACTGCAGCCCGACACCCTGCCCGGCTGCAGTTTCCTTCACGCTGTAATATGCGATTCACAAACACGCCCGCGTTACCTAGGCTAAAGCCAAATATACCTTGCAGGCTATTTCAGCCTATAGATTTATTTTCTGAAGCCTGAGCTGTCTCGGGATGGGGATGTAAAGGAAGGTGAAATGCAGGGCCAGCCAACCGGAGGGACATTTTGACACCATTTCCAGAAATAACCTCTCCTAAATAAAAAGCCCGAGCCTGCAAACATTTCTTAATGGAGCCCCTGATGTTCATAGCTAATAAAATAAAAATTCCTGCTTCTTATTCTTTCAGTAGGCAGGTGAAAAAAGGATGCGTTAGCCATAAGTCTTTTCCTTCCATACCACGCAATAATTCCCATCCTTTACAGTAACAAGCCTCCCTTAACTATTTTTAATACCTCCTGGAAATCCTGCACTGGGAAGGGACTTTTCTGGGTCATAAAATCCAACCTTTTGCTATTGTATGTACCACAGCTAGAAAATACCTGGTTTATCAAACTCTTTGCCCCCTCGCTTCTCCTTTTCACATCCATGGAGATTGGAAGTTGTCTTAGAGTTTCTATCCTAAAATTATTCATAACCTGTTCATACCCTTTCTTGGGCCAGCAGGGACAATATTTTTCTGGGTGCTGTGGGCAGAAACGTTAGCGCTTTGGTAGGTGACTTGTGTTTTGAGATGTCTTGTGAAAGGCGGGTTTAAAATGGTCTTGAAGCAAGGACACAACCTCTGGGATAGCAGAACGGGAAAGACAAAATTCCCAAAGAACTCGTTTGTTTTCTTAATTCATCATGAAACTGTTGATTGAAAAGCTTTGAAGAATAGTTCAGTTTGGTTATTCAAATGCATTAAAGGGGGGAAAAGAAACAGAAGAGGCTGGGTGTCACTACATAAAACTTACTTGTAGATAAACTTAAGAATTTCACAGAACAAAATGCTCTGTGTGGGTTTGGTAAAGGGTTGAGCCATGGATGCCTGCACTGGATCTGCAAATATTTAGATGAATAAGCAAATGAATAAAAAATGAATTCAAATGTTGTGACATTTCAAACTTAAGACCGCTTGATCTACTGAAATACTGCGGTTTCATCATTTATAAACTTTGTGCTTCCATTACGGTTGATAAACTATATTTGATTTTTTTTTCTGCACGTTTTAGGCCAGATCTAATGCCCATAAAATTTTCTGGAAAGCAGTTTTTCAGCAAGGCTACCTTAATTAGAGAAAGTAATACCTTATTTCAGTAGCATTCAAAGTAACGAGCAATTAAAAATATTTAGTTACTCATATTTTGGATTCTTGAATATGTAGGTTTTCTGTAAACCTTGGTGTAGATGAAACATTTATTAGGTTAAATTATTAGGTTGTCCAACTGGCAAGAAACAGGATTTTTTTTTTTTTGTTAAACCCATAAATTTTGACCATATGAAATGGTCAGTAAGTTTGTTCTAGCTTTTTCTGAGAAGCACGCTCTAACTGAGGTTTTAAATGTCAACGTAGGTGATACTAGAGTAAGGAAAGGTCTGAAATGCCTTTTTTTTTCCCCCCCTTTGAATTTTGTCGTGGCTGCAAATAGTACCTTTTAGCTATGGAATAGCTCTTTTAGCACTGAGCATATTCAGTTCCCAAACTCCTGCCTACGTCCCAGCTGCATCTGCTGGGATCTTTTTCTGTTAAACATGCCAAAAATGGAGCGGGTAACTGCTGCTGAGCTCTGTGCTGGATGCTACACCGACACAGACAGGAGACAAATGTTGTCTGGCATGGTGATGTGAAAGCCTATCGGAGCCAGGCTGTAGCTGCCAGGATGTTTTGCCACGTATCTTAAGTTAATATTTAACTGAATGCCTTTGAAAGGAACCAAATCCTGCTGTGTTTTCCCCCTGGTCCAGCACACAGCTCCATAAGAGATATTAATAACTGGATTTATCACTAGCTGGGAAGAGCTAGAATCTGCAAAACCACCTGTTTTAATTTATATCGTGTTGCATCGGCCCTTTAATTTTTAACTCTTGGAAACTCCCAGGAATGCAGCAATCGCACCATAACAGAATATCCCTCAGCATCCCCTTCTGCTGCCGAGCTCGGATTTTTTAAATTAATTTCTAAACAGTGCAGCTGCAAATAAACCTTTCCAGTATCTGCACCCAGTGTCATTCCTGCAGGCAACCTGAACCGATAGACCCACGAGTGTAACGAGAAGTACAAGAGTAGTTCAACATGAAAATTAAATAAACAAACTAATACTGAATTCCCTATTTTTATTTCCATAGTTTTATAGTTCCATTTGTTTAATACATCATATTAAACACAGAGCACGGATTTTACCGCACTATTTAGATTGCACTTGAGAAGGAGGACAGGTTCATAAAGCCTGGCCCATCTATCCCTTTAGGCAATTTTCCCTCCACATTCAGTCCCTGGGAGGAAGAGGAAGAGGAAGAGCACATTTAGAAAATTGCATGTCAGTGGGTTCGCTTTAAACTGAACCAAATCAGTGGGTTAAATTCTGAAATTAATCACACATTGGGCGATGTTCCTTTGAAATGATCAAGTGGAAGGAAGACCGCCAATCTGCAGCCTGGCTCTGCAGCATGAAGAATAAGATGATACGGATGTTACGAAAAATGACAGGAAATCTTCTCTTTCAAGCACATCTGGAAAGCCAACTGTCAGGTTATGCCGTTAGAAATGGCAGATTTTATGTCTAGCACCCAGAGTAGTGATGATCTCTTCTTCTGACGTCCACAATACGCTTCACCACTCAGATGCCCATCCTTTCCTGCT